AAAATTCATCTAGAATTGTTTCTAAAAATGCTTCAATTTTGCTATTTAGTTTAGCGTACTCCTTTCTTTTTGGGTTTTGATGACATTTTCGTTTTCCCTTTTCGATAAGGGTGTTTTGTCTTTTCTTGATTTTCATTTTTCTTAATTAAGTCCCCAGGTGATGTGGGATCGAGTTGAGAAACGTGACTATTGAATAGCCTAAGGCAAAAATTATCGTTATCCAGTTTACATTTTTGTCAAGATCAATGTTTGAAAGGAAATAGATAAAAAACTTCTAATGAAACTTTTGAAAAATAACTGAAAATCGTCTCAATAACTTCAACTGGATGGATGGATGAGCAAAAGAGAACAAATTCTTAAAGGATTAGAGAATGAAAAATGAATGGGACAAAAAACGTAAGACGCCTTTTTGATCTAATATTCAAGCTTGTTATTTGAATAAGAGAATTCAGAGCATCACTGTCAGTAATATGATCAAAAAAATGAATAACGAAATCGTCTATATAAATAAAATAAATGGCATATCTTGAAATTCTTGACCGTCACCAAAAAATAGGAAGTGGTACTTTGTGGCATGAGACATGGCTTTAAATTGATTAATGATGATTTTAATTTGTAATTTATTGGTATTTGTAAATGCAGAAAACTGCGAAAACACAACTGAAATACCAGATAAAATTCATTAGAGTGATGCTAAGTAATGACTAGTTTGATCTCAGATTTAGCTAGCTTATAAAGGACTAATTGCTTATGATTACGTCCCTATGACGTCCATATGATGTAGAAATGTAAATACACTAGATAAACGATTAATGGTTTATTACAATAATTAACTACAGCAAAAGAGAGCGCTATTTTATTTTTTTTTCTTAAGAAGAAGGCAACTTTGAGTGGGACACAATAAATAGGGGGTGAACGTAACAAGAATGATATTAACGATTTATTATAATAATTAACTACAGCAAAAGACAGCGCTATTTTTTTCTTAAAAAAGAAGGCAACTTTGAGTCGGACACAATAAAAAGGGGGTGAAAGTAAAAAGAATAATATTAAGTATATTAATGTGAGAAATCGCACGTTTCTCACTGATGCAATTAGTAAATCCTTGATCTAGCCAAACTGATAAATAAATAAATAAAAATAAACTGAAACAACCTCTGGACTGATCTAAGTCCGGCAGGGCACGGCTTACTTACATGTAGATCAAACCCTGAAACAACCTATCTGGGATGACCTAAGTCAGGAAACTGGTAAATCACTACTAATCAGTTGAACTCTGAAACAACCTGGTTTTTTTGTTTTGTTTTTTGTTTTTGAAGGGGCAGGGAGGGGAGGGGGGGTTGGCTGCAGGTAGGGGGATGCTGGTGGCAGAAAGGCAGTTAATAAGGGCGGCTTTTACCACCAATAAATCCTTCATCCACCTTAACAACACCATATAAGGCATGAAAAATAACACCGATAAAACATTTTAAAAATACATTTGCCTTAGGCTGCGCTTCAGACCAAAGATAACGAATATTAAACGAATATCAAACACATCTTTCCGTAGTGTGAAAGAATGTCCCGGTAATTCCAGTCAATTATTATTAATATGTTTATAACGGACTCCGATAAATGACATATAGAGGAACTGATGAAAATCAGATTATTATCGAGTAATTTTCGAATCATTTCATGACATAACAGGGCACTATATGGACACAGTATTTAAGGGAGTGGTTCATTTTCTTTGATTATGATTGTTGTTTAAAATTAGACACTATTAGTTCAAGGGTTAAGTCACATCGCACTCTAATCCGGCTAGGAGTGTAAACTTTGACAAATGTAACTGATTGAGTATGATGAATGATATATAAGACGTACACTAATGTTTCCATATGTTTGACCTCAAAAATGTGCAATACAAAAGAAAAACAATTCGATCGATTTCATTTATGTTACTTGCATTACCTTAATTGATTCGCGGTTTTCCACGCTGTTGTCTTCATACTTCATTACAGGTATATATAAATATATATATATATATCCGTCAGCATGCTGTAGATAATTGAATAGTGTAAGATAACTAACGAACAAGACCGATCCCTGGAGCACCGACATAATGATTAGACATAACCGCTGTGCTTGGAGGACCTTTTCAGTAATCCTGGCTTCAAAAACACATATCTACTAAGAAAGATCGAGCAGGATCAACAATGAAAGCGTCGAGGGCATTTAATACTAAGTGAGGCCCAGGGTTATAGTACCATTAACGAATCGCTTTCTGCTTCCCGCCATATTTATAAGTCAGTATTTTTAGAGCTCGTAGCGAAATAAATTGAAGTCAACTTAGTAATTTGCTTGAGACTAAATTCATGGGACAAACTGCACTAGCATTATGAAATGATTACCCAAAGACGTTTGCCGTGCAATATGGCGGACAATTATCACGTGACCCGTTATTGGGTAGTCATGGCATATATCGGAGTGTTCATCATTGCCATTGGAGGACTCGGATTTCCTCCATCATTGCATGAGGGTGCCAATGGGGTTACCCAATTGTCAGGTAACTACTATTTTTTCGGCCGCCTGTCAGCTGTAATACAAACTTAACGAGCGCTAGCCATAATATGAACCAAAAATAATGAAATATCAGTTAACTGTCGACTACTAATTGTAGGTTATTTGTCAGTTGACTACTATTTTCTTGGCCAATTGTCTGTTAACTTTAACCCCATTGACACCCTCTTGCATTACTTCTCGCAGTCATAGAACATCTATACTCCTCATAAACTTTGTTCAGTCCACTGAAATACAACAACGTCAACTAAATTGACCACAGTCACTTAGACAAATTGGAATTCATCACCGGAATATGAAGTTTTTTTATATTTGATTGGAATCTTTTTGGCTATATGAAAATTTGAATAGGTAATAAAAAAGAAATGTCATTGTTATTTGCTTGAAGTATATCGAAGTCCATGACCTTGGCAATTATTTACTGGCATTGACACTAAATCTTGAAGCAAAACTTCTAGTTCGAAACCTGTTTCCTTTAACATTCATTAAATTTGAGTGATAGGTTTATACAGTTCAATTTCGTTTCATCTTTTTTTATTCAGTTTTCAATGATTAAAAAGTATTATTCATTATTGGTTATCAAGGGTGGTTTAGCGAAGCGTACTCGCCTCTCATCTCCGAGTCTAGAATTCCTGGACTCAGCATCGCATGTGAGTAGAGTTTGTTAGATTCCTACGTTGATTAAAGGGCGTTTTCTCCGGGTTCTCTGGTTTCTTCCCTCCGCAAAGCTAACCAGCTAAATTCCAATTCGATCTGTAAGTTAGCAGTGTCCTGACTTTGATCAGCAAAGAGGTTGTTTCAGGGCTTGATCTGTGAATTAGCCGTCCTGAATTAGATCAGCCCAGAAGTTGTTTCAGACTTTGGTCTGTGAATTAGCCATGTCCCGACTTAGATCAGCCAAGAGGTTGGTTTAGGATATGAACACAATTTTAAGGTTATTTCATTTGTATTCTACAGCTTTACAGAATTAAGGTATTAGCAGTAAACCAGCCATTCGAGCCAAAGATACCAAAACAATTTCGTACTGCAAAAGCAAAAAAATATCCCTGATGCGCCAGCGACCTTTATTATTTGGCTTCAAGGCTTTAAGAAGAGGCCGATATTTATTCCCTGTGATCGGGATGTTGTTGTCGCAATAATAAACTCGTTCTAGAGCGCCTCAAAGAGAGGCTACTATGAACTGAACAAGGGCGGATCCAGGGGGCAAAGGGGGGCTGAAGCCCCCCCCCCCCTTCAGCAGAAAAAAACGATGCTTTTTTATATTGTTTTCCGTTATGTTGACGGAAGAAACTCAATTAGCCCCCCTAAAATTTTGGCTGGATTCGCCCTTGCTGAAAGTTGAAACCTTTGTAACGAACTTGGCTACCTAATGGTATGCTGAATCATGCAAGCAGGTGGCTTTATTATGGCTGAGATTGATGTCGTAAAAATCTCAATAATAATGCTAACCTTTTTCTTTCGTTTCATGGGTAAAATGTTATTCTCATTACTGGTAATTTATTGAAGAGAATTTATTTAAAATTTATGGATTCTCCGGAAATCGTTCTGAATTTAGAAAAAAAATAGATCGCTATTTTGATTTGTTAATGTTCATTTACCAGTTAATAAATGAAATATTTATAGTTTATTAGAACTTGATGTTATCATGACGATCACGTGATCAATGAAGCAGATTCCCTTTGCCATCTATTGAATTCTTTGACTCGCCGATTGTAATTTCTTAATGCCCATCCTTTTCGTCTTTTCAATCATATTTTGTTATATGTCGAGGACTTTCATTTAGGGCTTCAATTCCTGTTGAATCTACTGGAAGTAAACATCGAACGCGCCTGACAAGATCCAATAATAGATATTTTACGGTTATTACACAATATTTGCATTTGTGGATGACTTTTGAAAGCAGATGGGTTTTTATTTTGATAGCAACCGCGTCTATATCCCTAAAGTACAAACATCCAATTATAGAGTACCTTGCTAGTCAGCACTCGGCCAGCTCATTCTTGGCTGTATTTTGATTTTATTCAGCGTCTTGAGTAGGCGTCTCAACTATGACACCAAACCCTAACTTCCGAAAATAGCATAAATTACGATTCACAGTAGCGTAAACTTTCATTTTGTTTGTTTGATGGTATACGAGAAAACCGATACCCTAGACGGCCTGCCGGGTGAGCTTCTTTTCATTATCACGACTACCCATAATTCAACACGCATGAGATATTAATAATAATTTGATAATCTACAAAACAGCTGTATCGTTAATGAGCTGTATTACTTTGCATTTTACGAGGCCCCAAGGGAGAACAAGGATTTACTTAATTCGTATTTCTCTCTCATTATTGCCAGGCCTTACAGTAAGTCGCTCTTATATAATTGTTCTTACCAACCCACTCATCGATCTGTGAGTTGGTATGTTCGATTAACGTTGTCTATTCTCTACACAGAAGGGGTTGAGAGCAGAAGAACTCTTGGGCAAGTAGACGTACATAATCCCACGAATCGACTTCAATGCTTTACAATTAGCTTACTTGGCGACGGTAAATCGGTTGAGTTTGCAACTATAAAGCTAAGCCGGTGACGAAGTATTCAGTTGTTATAATCCAGAGCCAGTGAAGCAGATTGCTGTTTGGCTAAACGCCGAATATAAGGCTTGATTTTTGAATAGTAACTCAAGGATACTCAAGGCAAGGACAACGATTCTTTGAAACAACATTTTCAAAGAGTGGGTACTATATTTTCCAAACATAAAAACGTAATGAGTGGATTTCTCGAAATCAAAACACCAAGCTCCATTCTGTATGCTCACGCATGTACCAAGTCATTGATGTGAACAAGAACCGAATCAACGGCAAGTCGGCCGCTATCTTGATTTCAATCCTTATTTCGTAGATAACTTAAGTACATAAAGGAGACACAGGAAATTTATTCATTGGAACACTATTGCTTGGATTCATCTTGTTTGGAAGTCATCTGTGTTGCTGTAATTATAATGGAACGGATGGATCGATTGTTCCTCTATCTCCGTATCCGAAGGTCCATTCAACGATTGTTTATACTCGGGTTTTCTCTATTATATTATTGCTCGTTATCAACCGGGAAAGAGTTTAAAATTGGACTTATAATTCCATACAAAACAGTAGCCCTTCACGTGGGTAATAACTTCATGAAAGGAGAAAACTTTGCTGCTGCTATTACAATAGCTGTGGAAGATTTGAACTCGAATCCTGACATACTTCCCGGTCACAATATAACTTTCACATGGGAAGATTCCAAATGCGAGGAACTTCTTACAATCAGACAGGAGTTTAAGATGATTAACTCGCGAGTGTCAGCTATAATTGGACCTGGATGCAACTGTAAAGTGGCAGCAAGAAACGCAGCAGCATTTCATATACCTATGATATCATATGTAAGTACTATTTCTTTTGTTTTAGACGGGTTTGTTTTCGTTGTTTTGAATTGAATGTAAAGTGGTCAGGACAGTAGCAAACGAGGAGAGCTTGACAAACACGAACCACTTTAGATCTCCAATAACCTGACCTTCAAACCAAACAATCCCGATATTTTTTTGTAAACTTATCGATTGTGGAATGCTTTTTTTGCTCAGTCTTAACGTCGGCAAGAACATTGTCAATACTAATTAGTCAGAGAAGAATGCAATGATAGGTCTGCTAAAGCTCAACTCGAGCCAGCATCCAAGTAAACAAACCATAGTTATATTCCTATGAATTTCTAATGAATATTGAATATATCTTCCGAGGCACTCTTATACCTAAACAAGGAAGCGGTATAACTTGTTTAATCCTAAAACGTCTAGGAAAACACTCTGGTAATGCGTCTTAAAAACAAAATCGTAACGATTAAGGTGAATACAACAAGATTTAGACGACTTTTCGAGGTTGCAGGCCAAGGAAATGGAATTACATTGGACTTTGTTAGAGATTAAGAAACTTGATTAAGACACTTTTGTTGGTGCCTCATTAATGCTCTTAAAAAAGTATCATAGCCAGTTTTATCTTTTTTCATCGATTTACGGAGTATTAGAACGTTTGTTATGTCTTATTGAAGTATTAGGCACGATTGTATTTTCCTAGGTCTGATTTAACTGTTGTAAACTCGACTTGTTGACTGACGACATTACGAAGCACACGCGTCCAAGGCAATCACGCCATATCACGCCATACTTCGTTTACAAATAGCCCCCAAAACAAGACTTAACGCATATAAGAATCCTTCTATTATTCCATCTGTGCTTACAGCTTTATTACGTTGTCTTTTTTAACGTAGAGTTTCACTCCAACGCCGCTGATTGCAGTTGCATTTTGAAAATTGTTGTTATTTCGAGTAAAGACAGAAATACGATACTCCGACATAACACATCGAGAAATAATCTTTCATTTTATAAAGCAAGGCAAGCCTAAGAATAGAATTATTTCAAGTGTTTTTCCAAATCCCAACCGGAAAAGATATGGCTGAAACAATGTGAGGGGGAAAATAATATAATAAGACCAAATATGTTAGTTTTTTTGTTTATGAAGGTTATGGAAAAAAAGTTTAAGAATTAATCGTTCATAGTTATTGATGATTAATTGACAATTTGTAACCTAATATTTAGAGGTAATTATTTTATTTATTATTTATTTTTAGTACATATTAAGCTTATTATAATTTTCTTTGGTGTATAGAATGTTTTATTTTTACTCAAGACTTTTAAAATAACTATTTGACTTTTCAAATTTATTAATATAGAAAATTTCTTATTATTCTTGTTATATATTTTTAAATAATATTAATTGGAATTCACAAAATGCTAAAACTCATGACTTTGAATGTGTTGTGGTTAATTCCTTGGAATTAGAAAGTGTCATTAACTTAATCACAATGGTTGGTTTTACATTTTGTTATGAGTTATGTTAAAATGAAAATGAATTTGAAAATGGAAGGTGTGCAAAATCTTATCCTGTAAACAATACAATAACAATAACCTTGTTAGTGGTATAATATGTGAGTGTTATTTTGTTCAATATTTTCCTTTTTTAATTGCCATTCAAGTCATATCTGTAGACAGGATCAATGTATAATATTATTCTCTGGTATTGTGACTCAATTTTCAGTGTGATGAAAGGTGTGGAATATTGTTGATGCCATAGTTCGGCATAGTTCATATTGCTAGGCTTTTTGGCTGCTCATTTAATGACAGTAATATCAGGTTTGGCTCTGAAGCAAAGTCCCTTAGGCTCTTTAGCAAATATAGAAGAGAGACAACAGCTTTTTAGTGGTTGAGTATGATATCTTTTCAGTTCTCATGAAGAAATAGAAAATGTGCTTTGTGCTTTTATGTACACACATAAAGCCCAGCTTTCTTGTGTATTATCATTAGCTTATTGATCAATTCAGCAGACCAAATGTTTTGTCTTGAATATTGTACAGATACATTAATGGTTAACATAAAGAGTACAAAATACTCTTATGGCTAACAGAAGGTAGAATATTCAAGATTCAAATAATTAAACTTAATTCTCTTGGTTTTTATTTTTTACAAGTGGCAGGGTGAGCATAAATTTTGAAATTGCAGTCAATAAACAGGATTTAATTTTAAAACCTTTAGAACCTTCAATACATACATACATGCATACATAAACTTTATTTTATCTTTATCTTGAATATCCAGATTAAATACAAAATGGATATTATCTTTGAGGAATAATTTCCAGACCCTGACAAGGATCATTAGCTAATGGCCAAAACATTTATTTATAGGTAATAGTAAGCTAAAAATAAAATCCAATGAAGATCAATACTTAGTATTCAGTGTTGCTTTTCAGAGCAGATTTTTTCAAGTACAAATTAATGCAATTATGACAAACTGAATAGCTAGTGCTTTGAACCAACAAAATGCCATGAAAACAGTAATGGTCCACTCTGACACAATGTTTGAATATGAGAGCCTTGTTTTCCTCTATCACTTAATATCTCTCATACTTCTTCCTTTCTCAATATCCATAAGACCTATTCATTCAGTCATACTGAATCAAACCATCAACAGAATTGGAATTAACCAAGCTTAGAAAGTCAAACCAAGAATAGGAGAAATTTGTTAATGACCATTAACGCAATTCACCATTTCTTACCTCGTATATACATATTTTTAAAAAATCTAATACAGCAAATCAAAATATGTGAACAATTTGAATAAATATTGTTCTAAACTAACAAGTCTCTCTTACCTATGAAAAAGATATAGAACACAGTATTATAGACACAATGTTATTCAGTCCATAACAATGACAATAATAGTTATTCAAATCACCATATTTTGATTCCGTGCATAAGGCAGAACATGGTATAAATCATTACATTATTCTATATAGTATAGTTTAATTTATGCTGCAATTTGAGTAATTTAAGGCATCTGATAGCTGAACAACATTTTTGGGAGACATTTTGCCAAGTTTGATTTAACTTTTAATTACATGGCTAAGACAGTTAGCTTTTATTCAAGAGGTCTGGCTTTTTGGTTTTCATCAATCAAAATGTCTATAATTTATGGTTGATGGCATCCAAAATCCCTGGCATTTAGAGCTATGGTAATTGCATCTTATTAAAAGAAGTCAATACCAAAATTTGAATGTGACCACTTGCATGATATTTTCCTTATATTTTTATGTTTTTGTGGTGAAAATGGATATACAGCTAATTATATAGCTTGTTCTATTTTTGCTCATATAGTTATTATTTAAACTTACTTCCTTTGATTGCTCCATTAATCCACTACATGGCACTCGTCATAATAAGGAAGCCCCAGAGACCCCATTTGTGTTCTATGCGCACTTTGTTAGAATTGAATTTTTATGCCATTATTTCCTTTAGGGTCTAGACAAAAAATATCTATGTTTTGAGGTTCATACTTGTGTTTTTAATTCGTGTTTATAGCATATCACCAAAGCAACGACTGCACTACAATAAGCTTATTTTTAGAATTTTTTCTTGACATCTTATTCCCCCAAAAGATCCATAATTCGTAACTTTTGGAATTTAATCTTTTAAACGATTTCTTGAATTTAATTTAACTTTTTATTAGTTTTCCTTGGACTTCCGAACCTATAAGCGTATGTTTGTTTTAAAAATCAATTTTATTGAAATTCAATGTTATCAATTATTTTTTTCATTGACAGGAAGCTTCATAAATCTTGTAAAGCAAATTTCCTGTCTTGGCTTCAAGGCAATGCTTTTATTGGTTCAAAACACCATTTAAGAACTGTTATCTTTGCTTTAAATATCGAACTAGACAATGGAACAAATAGTCTTAAAATTTACAAAAGAAATGTTATAGGCTGAACCTCAATGGACAAACACAAGACCTTCTAAAAAACCTCTTATTTTTCCAACCACAGATATTTAAATTATCATTTCACCATGTTAGATTAATTAAGAATGTTAAGAGGGATTAATGAAGAGATTAATAGACGAAGAAAGGTTAATAAAGAGTAGAAAACTTCAGCTTAATACCTTGGATTTTTCTTGTTCACCTCAGTGTGGACGCCATTTTATTTCTCACTTCGAAAGCACACGCGCGCACGCGTTGAGTTACTTTTGGCGGGAAATAAAGTGACTACTGGGATCCCTGTGTTTTCTTACAGCGGCGACGGGGGATTTTCTATTTTTTTCTCTCCTTTTTTTTTTGTTTTTGTTTTTGTTTTTGTTTTTTTCTTGTTTGTTTGTTTTGTTTGTTTGTTTGTTTGTTTAAAATCTACAACTATTAATATATTTTGTAATTGCAAACTCATTGACCTGTATTGTTATCTCCTATAATATTTATATGTGCGTAAATTAAGAACTTTGAACTTGAACTAAATTTCTTTTCTTTGCTCCTGACAGATGTGTAGCAGTACAGAACTCTCCGACAAAAAACTTTACCCGACTTTCGCCCGAACATTTGCCGTCGACTCTCAAGTAACTCCAAGCGTAATAAGTCTGTTAAAGAAATTTAAATGGACAACAGTGGCAATTATATACGAAAACCTAACAAAATGGATAGATCTCAAAGACAGTATGAAGCGCCACTTAAAGGCTAACGGAATCAAAGTCTCTTACGAAGGTTCTACTATAGGCCCGTTTGCTCTCCATTCCAAGGTTATGGACGATAGAATCCGCGAAATGATGTCAGAAATTAAAAACAAAGCTCGAAGTAAGTAAAAAAAGAACAAAAATAATATTAATAGAACTATTTAAGTCCCTTAAAGTGCTTTTCAATGTCATACGCGGAATCTTACATTATTTGCCGTCGCAACAATATTTGATTTCAGTAAACGTCTGGCTACGTTTACACGTACTGGTAGAAATTTGTAAAAAATATGTATTTAGGAGTTCTATTCGGACAAAAACTCAAACGCCTAGCCGTGCATATTTGGAACCTGCAAAACTGCACCTTGTCCGGATAACCAGTTTTCGTTATTTTTTACGTAAACAGAACGTAATTTTTTATAAAAATTAAAAAGGTTACAAGGATGTAATATACTGGGGATGATTTTGAACGGTTAAAATTTCGATCGTTACCGTCTGAACGTAACCGTAATCAAAGTGTTTCCATAGCATTGTCAAAAAAACAAATTTTCAAAGGCGCGTGCTTATGGAATGTGCTGAGTTGCACATGGTTTTCTTTCTGACTCCGAGGGTTTTTCCCGTCCTCCGGTTTTTCCTTCCTTCACTCAAATCAACCGTAACTAATTCAAACTGGTTAGAGCTGTGCTCCGGGGTCATACATGGAATGTATAGCGGCTGCCAGATGCACCTTCTCAGTGGCGGATCCAGGGGGGGGTCGAAGGGGTCCACGGAACCCCCCTTGAAGGTTTGATCTTTTAGGTAATAGAAATATGTCTTATATAAATTTTAATAAAAAAATATTAGTAGTTTTGCGTTGGGTCGTGTTATTATAGCTTGGCCCGTTACTAGATAGTAAATTAGGTGATTAGAGCCAATTTTTTGTCAAACATCGACTAAACAAAAGAGAATTATACACAGTTTAAGAAACGGAACCCCCCTTTGAAAAATCCTGGATCCGCCACTGCTTCTCATGCTTTCAGTTCGACCCCGTTGAGCTGCGCCACTGCTGTACTCTGCGTTGGTAATTAGAATGAGAAGTTTTTTTAGGACAAGTTTGTCTACTTAATTGCGCCGACGATTCCAAGCGTGCTATTGAGAAGCACTGTCTTCCCCCATTCTGATCTGTCTTAACCGAGTATCGTACTTATTGAAACTTTTGTCGTTTAGTCGTGATTTTTGTCACAAGTTTCCACATGGCTCGAGAAGGCATTTACATCGCTTTCCAAGAGAATATGATTAGCGGGGAATACGTGTTCATAGCTTTTGAATTGGACCAGGTCTATGCTGCGAAAAGAAAAAAGCTTCCTTTCCTCTGGTTTCAAACAGACAGCCACTACAGAAACAGGGTAAACAGGTAAAATAGGGTAAATGGCTTTAAATTAATAGTAATTGACAGAGACATTCGTCTGAAACTAAGATGGAAGAATAGAGCCTTCCACTTTAGCGTATCTTTAAAACACCTCTAATACCCTCCCCCACCCCTCCCCACTTCCCACTTCCCAGACATAAAGCAAACTCAAAGAAATTGCTGATCACTTTTCCTCGAAAACGATCGACTCAATTTGCCGATTAAAAAATCTGTTTTCTATGGCATCCTACTCATGAAAAACAGGGAAACAAATTTCACGCTTTCCATAAAACCCTACATTTTGTTTCTTTTTTTTAGTTCGGATTTCGTATCTAGTGTCCAAAAAGGATCTGAAGCTGTTCTTCTGCTGACAGTTAAAGCACCTCTAGGATCAACATATGCTGATTTTAAAAAAAGACTCGAGGATCGAACCAAAGATCCACCCTTCAATAGCAGTACTTATATTAGTAACCAAGGAATGACGGTAGGTCACGTGATGTCGTTCCCAATCTAGGCGCGAAGTGTATTTTAAAATTCTATCAAATATTATCGCCACAATTCGGAAAAATGCGTCATTAAAAATGCTTTATCATTCAATGAAGCTGGGCTTTGTTTGAGCCAACCTAACCTTGTTCCCAGGACCCACTCTCTAATCAGTTAGGAGAGTAGGCCCTGGGAACAAGGTTGAATCTGATCTATATATACACATACCTTTGGTTACCTTTGTTTTTGCAGCCTCCTGTGTTTGGTGCTTATCTTTATGATGCTGTTTACCAGTTTGGAATAGCCTTGAACAAAACCTTAAGCAGAAACGAAACACCAGTTGGTGAAGCCATCATTGAAAAGATGCGCGACATCAATTATCTTAGTGAGTACAGAAAGGATTTGATTGAAGAGACCTCTTTACATCGGGTGTAATATTTTCCCATTTCAGACCACATGTCATTCTCTTGAGGACGAGATTCTTCGTTTGAGTTGTATCCATATTCATGCGTCTTCTCATGCGCAACAGTTAAACAAATAAATAGTGATACTCTAGAGAATAATTAACACGTGGTCTGAAATGGGAAATATTACAACCAAGGTAAAGAGGTATGTTGGTTTAAAAGGAGAGAAAAGATCAGTGCGCGAATATAATATCTCCTCATGCTAAGTATATGTGTTTTTAGGTATACAAGGGTATCAGGTTCATATTGACGCTAATGGAGATGCAGAATTCAATCTAACTCTACTAAGTAGCAAATATAATCCGAAAACGAAAGAAAAAGGTCAGTGAGCTAATTCAGCTCTTATTTAAGAAATGTCCGTTAACTGTCTGTGAAAGTCCTTAATATGCGATCCAAATTACCACATTGGACATGATATAGTCCGGCTATCACCCATACTAATCATTATTTTTGGTAGCAGTATTAATATATTTCACTGGTAATGACGTCACGCACAATTCAATAGGTACTCAATGCATTCTGGGAGTTTTACTCTACAAGCTCCGTGATATTATTGTCCGAAGTTTGCCATAATTCGTTTCCCTGAGCATAGTTGTGACGTCAATAATTGTGGAGTCTGTCTTAATTTAATTCGTATATTATTAATCATGTATTAACAGTCAACGAGATTTTGCGCCTCTGATTGGTTTCTCTTGTGATTTAGAAATGACCGAGACTGGAAACTTTCACATTGTCACGCATACTGTTACTCAGCGAGGAACACCAGACTTTAGGTACAAAGAAAACATGACAATCGATTGGCCAGGTGGTAGAAAAACACCCCCGAAGGACCACCCACCTTGTGGATTTAATGGCGAGTTGTGTTCGGTTGATGAAAAGAAAGGTAGTTTTTTTTATGTCGTACACAGACTCAAGCATGTTTCTTTCTCTTCTTTTTCTCCTTCCGCCCACATTCCGCCTCCTTCCCTTCCTTCCTTTGCCTTCCTTCCTTTCCCACCCTCCCTTTTTCTTTCTTTCTTCCTTTCTCTTCTTCCATCTTTCTTTCTTTCATTCCTTCCGCCTTTCTCTCTTTCTCGCTTCCTTCCTTCCTTCCTTCTTGACTTTGAAATTTCCTAAACTACATTTGGTAGACCACTAGCATTTCTTATATATTAGTTATTTACACCTCTTCCGTGGTGTAGCGAGAGAGGGGAAAGGAGGGACGGTTGCCCAAACGTTTTACAAAAGCAGTGGATAAGGCGGGAAACTCTAAAGATGAAACACTTACGCGCGTGTTTTGCGGGAAAATGGTGCATTATCCCCTCCCCCTCCTTCTATGGCCGAGACCTCGCAACGCCCCTACATCTGTTTGAGAAAATTGATAAGTAATACACTGAATAGAAATATTGCAACCAAATTGAATAACTATTGTTATGGACTTAAGTGTTTTCATATGAACGTGAAGCTAGTCAGTTCAGAACAATAGTTATTCACATTGGTCGTCATGTTTCGATTCGCTGTAGAACGCTAAAGTCTTGTATTTTGATTCTTCCATCAGATAACAAAACAACCATCATTGCAGCAGTGTCTGGTGCTTTAGCTTTCTTGGTTCTTTTGTTTATTGCAAACTTTTACAGGTAATGAAATAATAATTCTAAATAGCTTGAAATGAATACTCATGAGATACAGTATTCTCAAGATAATGAAACGAAAAAAGACACTACCGCCATATTGGAGACAACAAAGGAATTAAAGACAAATCCTTCGTTGAATCCTTCAACATGGCGGCCATGGCGACGTCGATGATACGACTATACTATCGTTAAAAAGAAAGGCTTTGGTTTTTAATTGAACTATTTTTCAGGCATTACAGGGCAGAACGAGAATTACAAAGCAGATTCTGGAAGATTGATTACGATGAGCTATGCTTTGAGCACCGCAGGGGGTCGAACACTTCTTTAGCAAGCACCGTCATGGTTAGTAACTTACCCCCCTCCCCTTACCCCTCCCCGTAATCCACGCCATGGTCTGTAACAATATTGTTAGCAACAAGTCAACCAATCCATAGATACTATTCACGGCTTGCTCCATATACAGCGATCTTTCATCTACAGCAATAACCCCCCACTCTCTCCTCCCTCTGTAACCTGCGCGCAGGAATATGCTACTATTAGTTTGCTTGAGAATTGGAAAGAAACAAGTTTGACAGGTTTTTGACTTGTTTTTAGCATCAAAGAGACGACGATGAGGAGGCAGGGATTCCTTTACTTGAAGACACTACAGCAGAAGGAAAAACCACAAGTATTGGAAAATATAAAGTAAGGCAAAAAGATCCCCACAGCCGAATTAATGTGTCAATCAAATTATCTTAGACCAATCAAATCCACTCATGTAATTAGAAATACACGTGATCAAGTAATTGAAAGTTGCTATTTATCGACTCTAGGGAAACGTGGTAACGGTTGCTAAGTTACCAACACGAAGTATCGACTTGACGAGAAAAGTGTTGCTTGAACTAAAACAGGTGAGAAAAGGATTACGACAGGGATTTTTAAATTATTTATTACATTTAATAATTATAAATATAATTACTTTTGAATTCATTCGCTTCTGTCAAGAGCATGCGCAGTTGTAATGGTCTGTTTTGATTTGCAGATGCGTGACATCAGACATGATAATCTCAACCAGTTTATCGGAGCATGCGCAGAACCTCCCATTGTCTGTATCGTAATGCAGTACTGCTCTCGGGGAAGTCTACAGGTAAATTAACCAATCGATACGATACAATTGAATTAAAGCTCCATGGAGACGCCCCTAATATAGTCAATCCGGAAGTGAATCACGAGGCTGTTTATGAGCTACGTGAATGAAAGTAACACTATAAACTAGACGGCTTTGAATGTGTTGTTTTAACATTATGCTCCAGCATGTTGCACCCAGTAATAATATTTAATAGTATTTTTACAAAAGTGAATATAATAAATCCGGCGCGCTCATTGGTCACAATTTACGTCTTATGCTGTTATGTTCAACTACAGGTGAATATAACGCGGACGCTCGTTTGTCGGTGCGTGCCGCTTGCAGAGATGAATAAAATAAATCACTTGTGTTAAAAATGCTACAACAATTATTTATAATACGCAAATTAACACGTTGGAATATGATATGATCAATGTTGACCCTGTTTCGTTGCGTTACAGGACATCTTAGAGAACAGTGACGTCAAACTCGATCATATGTTCATCGCATCCTTAGTCTCAGACATCGTCAAGGTATATACATATCTATATCAACCACGTGACAGTGGTTACGTTGTACAAAATAAATAGAGACACGTTTTAATGGCTTGGTTGGTTCGTGCGGTACGTATTAAGTGAAGAAAGGGAGGATGGGAAAGAAAGAGGTGTAAATAATGAATGAATCAGGTTGTCACTTCTCAGGTTGTATTTCAAGGAGTAGAAGAGTAAAGTGTTTAAGTATAGAGGCTTTGCACCATTATGTGATGGCAGCCATGAAAGGAAGCAGGAACAATTAATCTCCATCACGTGATGGTGCAAAATGATTTATATTTCTTCAAGCATATTTTTCTCTAAAAAATATGTCCGAGCTCGAGGTGGGATTTGTTTGCAAATAGAGTGTTGATTGTTGAGTGATTATGAGATACTAGCTTTGTAGCCTAAAAGAACTCCAAAAAACTGCAAAACATTTGAGAGGAACGGCGAAAACGTTTGAAGGTTAACATACTTAAAGCGAATTTGTAAAACATATTTTCTGCATAGGGAATGGCGTACCTACACAGTTCAGATATTCGTTCTCATGGCAACCTGAAGTCTTCCAACTGTCTGGTGGACAGTCGTTGGGTTCTTAAGATTACTGATTACGGTCTCCCGACGTTCCGATCCAAAGTGAAAAAAAGTGTGGACAACTACGCGTATTATAGAGGTATACATTAGGCAGATTAAGATTCTCGTTTTTCCTTCCCGCAAACGGCAAACTTGACCACGTTTCCATCGTTTCCCTACATTTCATTTACCTTTTGCAAACCTTCTCGACAAAGACAAGTATTCTTTTGTTTATCTACTACTTGGAGATTTTTTGCGATTTTTTTAGTAATTTTAATCTGTTTATTGGCGTATATAGCTAATGACTATTTCGTTCATGCTCCTCAAACCTTTCTGGAACTTAACCTTAGAATTCGTTCAATACCGCTGTGTTCCTTGATTACAGACTCATTTAATCAGGGTTACCTCGTATCAGATCCTAAATATTCACAAATACCAACGGTAAAGTAAAGAATGCACAACTTCAACAATACAAACACTTTGAAATTTCACGGACCTTGACTGGAACACATGAATATTCTACACAAAATCGAAGCTAACCCTGAGCAACAGAGAACTCGAAACTGGAGTATATGGTGACTTTTTTAATGTTTTACTCCAGATCAGCTATGGGTTGCACCCGAACTTCTCCGCAACCCGAACAGAGACATCCGGGGCACACAGAAGGGTGATGTGTACAGTTTTGCTATTATATTGCATGAGTTTCACACGAGGGAAGGACCCTATGCCAACAGCAATCTGGAGCCTAAAGGTAGGCACATTTAAACTATGTCACATACTCATTAATAATGCATGAGGAAAGCAGCCACTCAATGGGCTTTTTTTGGGTCACATGACGTTACTTGAAACCTGGTAAAGTCCTGTGAAAGGACTGAAATAATTTTGTTCCAGTCCTTGGACTGGATCAAAATTAATTCAGTTCAGGGACATATCTGTCCCTTAAATCTTTCAATCCTAAACAATTGGAACTAATTGCGCGAACTTGAAAATTCCCGTCCAGTCCTCATTGTCGGCTTTGAAACATTACGTCACGTGACTTTTTTTCTTTTATCAGTGTTCCTAGACCATTAGGTAATCGTATTTTTTTTCCTACAGAAATAATTCATCGCGTCAAAGAAAGGGAATACCCGCCTTTCAGACCGATCGTTACAAAGCTGATCGGTGGGGTAGAAGAACTAAGAGAGCTAATGACACAATGCTGGGAAGAAGAACCTGAAACGCGACCAGACTTTCCTGATATCAAGAAAATCATGCATAGACTACTCATACAAAATGGAATGTAAGTATGCGATATTCAGAAACATGTGTCTGCTATGGACTTGGTCAGCGGTTACATAAAGCTGCGCATGCTAAAATGTAAAACTCTGAAGTAGATTCGGGCAGCGGTTTACTATATATAGAATAGAGCAGGCGCATGCTACGTCATCGCCGCCATCTTGGTTGACTATGACAAAGCATTCCTCATTAACATTAACTTCTCTTGTTATGTGTCGTTATTCATCTCTCAAGGGAATTTGAACACATGGTTTCACACACTATTCAAAAAAGGATTGTTAAAATGTCGTTCAAAAGTGCGCATGTTTAATACGCACTCCCTACGAAAGACTGGTCTGCAGTCGCTCAAAGATGCACAACCTTTATTGCGTATCTCCAAAGTAAGGCTGGTCAGCGGTTGCAAAAGGTGCTGATGTAACACTTTGCACCTCCTTAGCGAGTGGAGGCGATCAGTAACCTTCTCAAAACCTGCGCATGCGTAAAAAGAAAAGCTCATGACCAAATTGTTTCTGCTTCAAAAGACTATTTCTTAAAGAAAAGCAGATCTCATATTCAACATAAGCCCTGATAAGTATAATACATAAGCGCTGATATTTATGTTTGGATTTTTTAGGAAAACAAATATATTCGATAACATTGTGTACATGATGGAGAAATACGCTGATAATCTGGAGGAACTGGTGATGGAGAGAACAGGGCAGCTGATAGAAGAGAAGAAAAAGACAGACGCCCTGCTAGAGCGCATGCTTCCACCGTATGTTACACCATACTAATCTTAACTTCTTTTGCCATTCAAATATTGTACAACCATCACTCTTTCGTGAGGTTCGCTCCACTACTACTACTTTTATTATTTACATCACGCAACAATCAACTTTTATGTTGATTTTTACAAAGAGAAGAAAACCGTTGATTGACATATCAGAAAATGCTTCACTGTAGTGTATTTGATTTTGTACAGATCGGTAGCTGAGCAGCTGAAGAAGGGTAAAGCAGTAGAAGCAGAGAGCTTCAACCAAGTATCGATCTACTTCAGTGATATTGTTGGTTTCACGAGTCTCAGTGCAGAGAGTACACCCATGCAGGTTTGTCACGTGATCCCAAGGATACTATATTAGCGCGATGGCACCTGAACGGTGGAGGATTGGGGAGATTCTTTACCCCGGATTGCTGGAAGAAAGGGGTTGATTGCATGGTATGACCAACTGTGCATTCTCAATTCCAATACAGGAATTTTCGGTAGAACCTGCCATTAATCTCTTTTCTTTGCACCCATTAAACGCGAGACCTTTGCCACATTAAAGTTTTGCGCAATTAGTAACCAAGCCTTCTACCTAGGAGTAGTCCTGGTACTGAGTCCTATCTTTGTCTTGTCTTTAGGTCGTAGCTCTGCTAAATGATTTGTATACGTTATTTGATGACATCATACGAGAATACGACGTATATAAGGTAAGTAAATATATGAACTACAGTTCCTATAATGCATTGCTAAATAACTGTTCTCTTAATACGTTCTGCTCCTAGGTTGAGACTATAGGAGATGCATACATGGTGGTCAGCGGTCTTCCTATAAGAAACGGCTCGCGTCATGCGGGAGAAATAGCGCGCATGTCATTACATCTGGTGGATGCTGTACAAACGATCTTCACTGTCCGGCACAAACCAGGATACAAATTAAAACTACGTGTTGGAATACACAGCGGTAAGAGAAGTCGTTTAACACTAAAGAGGCACCGCAGACACGGTGTCTGAAATCAAACGATCCGACTAATTTAAGAAGTGCGGGGCTGATGTTTAATATTAGAATAATGAAGTGTTTAATCGATCTGTTTCTGGTATTTGAACATTTTGAACTAAAGTAGTTAAACATCTAACCAGACGCAATGTCTCGCAGAAAAAGACAAGTGACTGTGTACCATGAGATCTTGATGAAAGGAAAAGAAAGTTAAAAGGGCGTGGCACACCACGTGCTCAGAAATTGGTTATTCAGCTAAAACATTTCAATATAAAATACGAGCTGTACGAAATCCAAAATAAGCACGGAACACATTGAAATAAGGCTGTGGCCTTTACCACATGCACAGAGGTAAAACTGTGAAGTAAGATAGGCGTGGCATTCCACGTGCATCCAGAGATTCCAGTGATCCTTTAGTGATGGATTCAATTCCTGTGAGTTTTTATTGTAAGTGTATTGTTTTCTTTCCCTAGGTCCTGTGGTGGCTGGTGTAGTAGGCAACACTATGCCTCGTTACTGTTTGTTCGGAGACACAGTCAACACAGCTTCAAGAATGGAATCAAACGGAGAACGTAAGGTCACTTCTGAGCAAATAACCAATCTCGCGACCAGCGCATGCGCACGTCTTGTATGCGCAAAGGTCACGTGACTTGAACTAATTGTATTTTGTTTTTCCTGAACCAGCTCTTCGCATACACATCAGTGATCAAACGAAGAAGATACTTGACCAACTTGGTGGATTTATAGTGGAGGAACGTGGCGAAGTCTTCCTAAAGGTAATGGCTCATCTTACCTTAAATCTGTACAGTTACAGATGCAACTACGCCGTTTGTCATTATGTCACGGTATTACCTTTTGTGTGACCTCAAGCGTCACGCTTACAACTTCTAACAACGCTTAAGCCTCTTGCGTGATCTACATTGTTACGATAACAACTTCAAACAATGCTATTGATACTTGCATGTTCAATGTCACGTTGTCACGATAACGACTGCTAACAACGCTATTGCCACTTGCATGATCTTCAATGTCACGTTGTCACGCTAACAACTTCTCATCACTTTTTTCCACAGGGTAAAGGAAACTGCATTACATACTGGCTGATCGATGCAGTAAAGAAACGACAGCTGAGCGTCAAAGGAAAATCACATCATCCCAATGGGAACCCTCTGTTAAGCTACCTTACAGCACCCAGTCAATTTGGTTCCACAGGGTCCTTGAATGTCCGCAGAACTGATTCATTCAGAAAGAATATCAAAAGCACTCCTTCACCGAAACCCAAGAAAAAAGTCTGGCATAAGTTTGATGTTGAAGATGGACTACTTGGTGCTGATCACACAGCGGTATAAGGACTGATAGACTTCAAAAATATAATGGCTTTGTTCGTGGATATATCCAGTAGATTGAATTGTCCTCGGGTGAATGTGGCTCTCAATTTCTACAACATGAATCTTGTACACGTTGACGTAAAGAAATGTTGGTATTTAGTGTGGAAATCTTGAAAGAAAAATTAATTTTAGGAAGAAATTATGTGCATAAAATGAGTGGTCGACACGATAGAACATCGGCTTGTGTTCGGCAAAGCGTCGGAGCTGGAAATTTTCGACTTATTAAGTGTTGCTGCTGCTGAAAATAATCAATCACTCGAGATAATGTAAAGTTTTCGTGGAAGAGCTTGATAAAAGAATCAAGAGTCGATTACCTGTCGGCACAAAGTAGAATGGAAGTGAGAGTGATCGGTAATACTTCGGCATGCATTCGGAAAATATCTGGCTTCGATTGACGAAACCAGTGTTGCTGGAAATGCAACCTTAATGGAAAATGAATGACATTCTACTTCGGAATCCAGTCGGAAATCTGTCGGTTCACGAAAAAATAACGACGAATTGTCGGCTCCTGTAATTTGTGTATATAGATAGTGGAGGATGAGACAAATGGAATTGAGTCATGGATTAATGAATGAAATAAATGAAGCCAGTGTGTGGTGGTTGGAATCGTGTCGTCGGCAAAAAACTCTCGGCAATTACTCGTTACGTCCTCGAGCACTTCACATGGATGCTTAGACGTCTTTTAATTTGATGTTCTCGTTATTAGAGAATTGCAATAATTTATCATATACGTAAATATGAATATATACATATATATACCAGCATGCTGAATTATATACTAGTTTAATCTATTCTGGAGGCAAGATGTAGTATTTTTAGTCATCCATCTCGGAATCAGATATCTAACTGGGCTGGAAACACAATAAACGACTTAGGGGGGGGGGGGAGGTATTTTGTTGATAATGTTAGCCATTTCTAGCTTACAGGCGGGGCTGGGCCTAGGCCGAGTGACGAAGTACATATAAATAGACACTCATTTTTGACGAGAATGATGAGAATGATGGCATTAAATTGTTTAGTCTGTTATAAATGGTTTCTTATTTATTTGTTTGTTTGTTTATGCAGCTGTCTGTCTATCTGTCCGAGTCAGTCGGTTGGTCGGTCGGTCGGTCAGTTGGTCGATCTGTCTGTCTTTCTCTCTCTGTTGGTCTGACTTTTTGTCTGTCTGTCTTTTCTTTTTTAGAGGGTTTCCAACCCAACTCATTACCAACATTCATGACGTCATGACGGCCATGTTGGTTGAATAGGACGTTTGCATGATGGCGTCATTTGACTCCCACTACCATAATGCTTCGCGAATTTTCTTTCTTATTCAAATTTTTATTTCCCTATAAGAATAGTAAAACAATTTGTGCTAATTAACTGAACAAAAGAAAGTGTGCAAGGGAGTCTGGTAGGAGAGAGGTCAGTGACGCCATCATGCAAACGTCCTATTTAACAAAGGATTCAGTTTTCTTTCCTTTAGTTGTGTTAATCATCCAACATGGCGGCTATGTCTTGACTGCGAATCAAAGATACAATTTTTTTCTGTTTCAGAAAATGTATCTCTTCGGTTAATAAATATCACTATATACTAGGTCCCAGGCCCTCCCTTTAATGGCTCGGTGAAATGGTATCAAAGAGAATGCCTGATCTATGCCTGAGAAAGCCTGTTCTTTCATTATCATTGTACGTCCAACTAGTCTCGTTTGAAGTAATATAAATGAAAGGCTCAGCATGTTTCTCGAATGTTGATCTGATGTTTTAATCAGTATTTCAAATCCACAGGGGTCCCCTCGGGAGTCCATTGCTAGGAGCTGATTTCTAGAGCCATAATTTTTCGATAGTATTAGTTTTTGATTAGTTTCTAATATAGAACGAATTGGTCGTGAAACAGGATTAACAGTGGTGATGTTATTGGCATGTTTAGGACAAAAAATTGTTTGAATTAAGGTCTCACGATTTCTCCTTTTTAAACCCTTCGAGCCTCTTTCTCTACCTTCTTGTTGATACCAAATTCCCCCCCGGGCAACAGCTGTGTTTCCTATTGTTGTTTTCTGATTTCTGTTTTCTGATTGGCTGATTAGATCTAAAAATAATCTAATCCTATATCTAGGAATATTCTGGCTTACAGACCGCCGGGCCTTACTCAGCAGGGGAGACAGATGGATTCTGTTAGTAATGGTCTCTTGTAGTCATTCATATATAGAAATGGAGAGTCACTTAAAAAGATATTGGCAGAGCTATTGGCAGTACAAGAAACAAACGCCTACGCCGTGAGCTTCATACATGCAAGGAAAGAACGAGGGAGACGCCAATAGGGAGCCAGTGGAAAAAAAAGCACAATTTTTAAATTCGATCGACAATAGCTTACGCCATTTTGAATACTAAGAATCACCGGCCAATAAATTTCTGCTCATTAGAGCTTGAGTTTCATTCATGGTCAGCGGTTTTTGCAATGGAAAATTAATTCTTTTCTTAACATGTCAGCTGCGCATGTGCGTATACGTTAAACATATTAAAGGCTTTAAGGATAGAATATTCCTTGTAGTAAAATAATTAAAATACTTCAAGAACTGTGCATTAATCGCGATTTAATCATGTCGTAAAAAATTGACATTTGCCATAAAATAACTTTGTTTTTCGAGGTCTTAAAAGGGAGGTCTAACAAAGCTTCTGTGAAGCATAAATAATTAAATTTTCAAAATATCGAATAAGATCAAGAATTAAACTAAAGAATTAACCAGAATCGCACGAAAGCAAAATATTAAGAACAAGATAAAAATAACGTAGGACTGAAAAACGATTTATCGACTGAAACTCAAGTGGAAGATTTATGGCAGTGAAACTTGAAAATCAAGAAGCTTTCACCACGATCAAAGTGATAATTCTGCAGTCAATATTTCGCGTGTCAGGTCCAGTGACACCTGGTACATCAAGTCGTGAGTAATATTCAATCAGACGAAACAGTATGAACTGATAAATATCTAGTGTTGTCACGATTCCAAGCTAGAACTAAAGCCTTTTAGTGAAATATCGCGGCACTCAGTTAACCCTTGCTTGATCCAAGCCTAGCGAATTGTAGGTAAGAGACTCCACTAATCCTTCTAGTTTATTTTTTCAAGTTTCTTTTTATTTTCTGGCGATTTTGTTTTACTGAAAATACGATGTGATTCGAGAGGATTAATGCGCGTCGTGGCTAGATTTATCGATATGTGCGGTGTAACAGATTTCGAAGGCGTAAACAATGCTTCACTTGATCAATACTTTACTTGTAGATCTACTAGATATTGAATCAACTTTTTGTTTATTTTTTGTCTCATGTTATACCGCAGATAATTGAAACTGTTAAACTGTTGGTTATTTTTGTATCAAAGGGAGACAGTAATAATATTGACATATTTGTTTGAAAAAGACTAACAGATGACTGAATGTTAAGAAAACATACCTCTTTTTTGCTTCTTTTTCGTCTTTATATCTTTTCGAGTTGTCTTCTCGTTGTCATGCTTATTCCCTCGTTTACTGTCCAAGAACTGGCTCAGTAACGAAACGACTTTCGATAATGTACTGATAAAGTGTATAAAATGCATTTCAGTATATAAATATTATTGAACTTCTTGACCGCTTCGTTAATTCGGATCCTCTTAGCTACAACTCAGTTTTTATAGTGCATCAATCATAATACGGATACATAAAAACTCCTTGCTTCCTGGTCTGGCTTTTGAGAAAAGCGCCGAATTCACGTCACTCGTCTTCATCAACTAAATTGATCAAACCAAATTAGAGTCAAAGAAAACTAAGTCATTCTTCCATCCACTTCCATCCTGTGGCGTTGAATGAAAAAGTTATGAACCAATAAGCAAAATGGATCACTTAACGAAGAAAAATGTACTAGTTATCTTATAAGCTCGCCCACGTCTGAGCGTAAAAGCATCTGTCTGTAATTCGGTATAAGAGTGTCATTGGTCGAAACGTTAAGATCTTTACGACTTAGCAATAAAACCCCAACGAGTATCATAGATATCGGTAAGTGAAGTTGTTGTGCGAAAAACGGACAACTCGTAATTCATCAAAACTCTACTACTCGTAAATCAAATAAAATGAAGAGCAGATAGATTGCTCTTTCCTCAGTTTTGAAGCCAACGCCTTTGGCGGTATACTATTCATCATGACTTCATGTGGGAACTCCTGATCAGTTTTTATGACACTGAAATATTACTTCTCATTACTGACTAGAGAAAGGTCTGGAAGTGGAGCAAAGCTGCTATAAGCCATTCGAATGGCTTATGTAATAATGATGCACTTGGTTAGCGTGGATTCTTTGAGTTTTTATTGGTTGGTTTTTAGAGGGTCACTGTGCTCACTGTACTACACCCCATCAACATAAAAACTGACATTGACTCGGCTGCTGATGGATCAGGGAATCTTTTATTACGAATGGATAGATGGATGGATGGATAGATGGAAGAATGAATGCACCAGAAATGAATGAGTGAATGAATAGCGGATGGATAGTTTCATTTCCATGCCATACAATTTCAGCAGATAGTTATTAATACTAATATCAACCTTATTCTTTCGTATGCTTTTACCCGACATCAAAGACAATGTTTCTCATCACCTGATCTCTCAGCAGTAGATCTTATTATTTCTGCAGCTGTTTGCTTCTCATTCAATTACGACCCGCTAAACAAGAAAAGGGAGTCCTAGATTCGTGGGAAGAGGGGTCGGGAGATATTTGTCAGGTATAGAAAACCGTAAAGAAGATTAGCCGCGCATAACATGAAATGAATAATACTTTTATCAGTCTCAGCAAGACATTTCCTTTTTCGTTCAAAATGCATTAATAGAATAAAAAAGAAAATGGATCCCAACTTACCTGCGAGCAAAGGAAAACTAAATGCCATACGTGACCAATAAGAAGACTGGGAAATGGCAGCTTCACAGTCTTCAAAGTGCTGCAAATCTTTCATAATCTTGCTAGTTGGCATAAATAACCATATAAGTGAACTCTTGCAACTGAGACAAAAACAAATACGATACAATAAAATAAATATTTGAAGAAACGCGCATCAGGGAGGGATCGAACAATTCATGGACAAATAATTAGATCAACAATGAAGCGCTCAATACCCTGACTTCCATTCCGATTATTCAAGTAGGAAGGTGGAAAAACGCGTAATCCTGCGACTCTTGATTGACATATTATATACGTGCAAAAGAAATTGAAGGTTGTATTTAGGAACCTTCTCTTATCGAGATGTCACTATCGATAAGAATGTGTACGTCGAAAATCCACTTATGAGGAGCAATTGATTACGGATCACTCGAGTTACAGGCTTTTAGCAAAACACAAATAGAAAGTTAAAAACGTATTTATTCACAACAAGAGCAAACAAATTGAAAAGATTCAAATCAATAGAGAGCAAGAGAAAGAAAGAGAGGGAGTTCAGTCGGGGATTTCGGAATCTGTAGCCCGACAAAGTTTGTTCAACGTTTCGGTTCTTATGTGAAAAAACTTGAGTTGAGAACATGACGCTCCCCAAAAAAGAACCTCTCAAGTCGCTTAATATTTTTTCCATTAGCATCGCGAGAGCTTATCCTATTCCTCTCGAGAACTACTTTATTCTTTTTGTATTTAATCAAAACTTGTAAAGTTAAATCCCTATAGCATATCCCTTTGAATGACTTGTCAGTGTCAGGATAATATGTGGACTTCTATATCATCTTTTGTCATTCGTTTTCAGCCAATTTCCGTCTTTCTTTTTTTCTTTCTTTTTTTTTTTTTTTTTTTTTTTTTTTTTTTTTTTTTTTTTTTTTTTTTTTCCCCGTCTGAGAGCAACAATAACATCTTGACATGGATATATTTATTCGCAGAAAATGTTTGGTGATTTTTTTCACTTATCATTTGTAGCTTCTTGAATGAAAAAAGGAAATATCACTAATAGAATTATTTTATTAGTTTAACTGTTTGCGTCAGGAGTCTTATCTCTAACTATTTGATTTCATTTCTTCATTTCCCTAATATTGCTTGCTTGCGTTTTGTCTTTCATTTGTCCCAATTTTTTTAAATTCGTACTCTTGTTTTCTATTTTTCCCATTTTGTTTTGCTTTTCTTCCATTCATTCATTCCTTCATTTTCTTTCATTCATTAATTCTTTCATTCTTTCTTTCTTTCATTATTCCTCTCTTTCTTTCTTTCTATCTATCTCTAAAGAATGGAACCATCTCTTTAAAAAAGGAAAAATAATACGACAAAGAAGAGATTGCGGATACTTCATGGAATAAAAAGAAAGAGAAAAGCTACTTATTTACTCCCGTTTCTTGTACAACTGACCGATTCACAGGCATACAAAACCTTCCCCAGGGAGGGAGGGTCGAGACGGTACATCCCTAATCCCTTCCCTGTTTTTCAACGTCCGTCAGTTGTTCTTTCTATCCCTTCTTTTCATATTCCATCCTATTTTAATTCTATATTGAATATTTTAAGCCTATTATTTTTGAATATGGAAATAACGTTTTGTAATTTTAGAAAATAAGACTACATCCTCTCAAACTTGAAAAGAATAAGATCAGCTTAGAAAGTCTTTTCAACGAGTGTCACATCTTTGAACCTTAAAGTAGCTATACCTCTATAAGTAGAGTTAATATCGTTTGACTTACCGGACCATTGATGTTCAAAACAACAGAAAAAACACGACCTGTACTGGTGTTCCACTGCGCATGCGTGGAAGACCAAAATAGGAGTTTCTAAAATCAAGAAAAGAAATCAGTTGTAGTCACAGCCATGTCTACCTTTAGCAGACAGATCGATGGATTTACTTATCAGTAATACGAATGATCGCTTATATTCGAAACAAAAATTGAATGCAGAAATCGAGATAGCAAACGGTCTCGACACAGCTGGAGTATTTCATGATTAAATGATTATAATAAGACACATCATCAATGAGGAATCTTTCTGTATCGAGAAGTAATCTCAATAAGCGCGGAATATAGTTTTAAGAATACAATAACAATACTTTTTATAGTTTGTTTTGGTCATAAAATGGTTAATGCACATTTTGTGTAACAGATGCATGCGAACGAGTTGGCGAAATTGGGCCAAGTGGTCAGCTTATGGGTTTTTCTTAAGTGGCGGAAAAGAGACAACATGAAAAGAATACAAAATACGATCGACTTGAAGATAGGTTGGCATTGACTCTCTTTGGGCAACAAAGCTGCGAATTAAGAGGGGACATACCTTGAAACTTAACCCACTGCTTATAGTAATCATAAGCAAATCCTAGGGCCTTCATTCCTTAACGGGTCTTTCCTCTCATATGTCCCCGCTGGCTATGTAAATGTTCTCTGAACATTAGCCCAATCTAAAACCTATACGGTACGTGACCTACTTTCACCTCAAATGAAAGTTAATGTGATCCAGAGCGGGCAATAAAATAAGGCTGGTTTCAGTGACCGACTTTCTACACACAACGAATCGACGATCCATAATCCTCAGTAAGTGATGAAAAAAGGAATTACAAAATGTCGAGAACGATGTTATCGTCTTTTATACCTAAGTGAAAATTAAAAATAAGTGGTTGTAGTTTAAACCTTTGCGAGGGCGATCGGAACAAGTACGTATACATGGGGGAATCAAAGGGTTTTCCTTAGAGTTCTTTTGCTTGTAGTACCGCAAATATTAATTACGAGAAATAACGAAATCCATTAACCGAATACTGGTGATTTTACCGCCAGGATCGACGTGCTGTAGGACTGAATCGAATGCCTTGAAGACCGCGAAAGATTTCAGGAAGGATTTTCTATCATGGTCAATACTGGGGCTATCTTCCTGCAGTTAGCTTGCAACATCAAGACGGATTAATCGAGGAAAATTCGCAAAAAATACTTTAGGGTAAGTAGTTATTTCGTGTCTTTTTCGTGTTCAAGAGTTTGTTATATAGTGCCGCGCCGCCGGTCATTAACGAATATTCAGAAATGTCCCGAAAAGCGCAAAGGCTATTTTATCCGGCAGTTTAGTCACACTGTCGTAAAAAATTTGTTAAACTTTAATGGCGCTTGCCTGAAGGCACCCTAAAACGAAAAAAACCCCAGAATTTACCGAAGAAAATTTTACCGAAGAAAAATAAAATCGGAACAAAATGTGAGTGAACCAAAAGAACAAACGGCTGTCTATTGCTACAGGTTTCATTTTTATCCAATTTGCCGACGATACTAGACATATTTCTTTTCGGTTTTTGAATTATTCATTTGCGACTTCTGGATTCCTTTTTAAATAATATTTTTTGACATTTTTGCCACCACAAAAAAAGAGCCTCTTAAACTACTAGAATTAAATATCAATCATATATTTGTATATTTGGTATATTTGGTATATTTGGTATATATGTATATATGTATATATGTATGTATAAATATGAATTTGTCTTTTTTGCAACAATTGGGATATATATATACATATATATGAAGGATTACCAAGTTGTTCTAGAAAACGCAGTGACAGCTTTTAAGCATGTTTGGAGCTAAAGTGCTTGTTGTTTACTTTTTATTTTTCAACAAAAATAGCACCAAAACATATACCGCTAAATTGTCAAAGTTTTAGGTATTTGGTGTATATATATAGAGAGAGAACAATGAGTTAGTAACAAATAAGTAGAAATGACCGTGGAATATCCTCTTCCATCCAACACCTGTTTCATCATCCAGTATTAAAAGAGGGAAGATGGCATATAATGTAATCAAACAAGCAGGCGATAACTTCAAGCGCATTAGCTCGTATTGTTACAGGACTGATCACCATGGAAACATGGTGTACATTTACATAATTGTCAGTCATTAAAACATACAAGAAAAGAAGAAAGATTAGAAGAGTTTATTGGAAGGATAGTAGTAAGAGAATAGTTTATTAATAGACTGTCACATACAATATCGAGTTGGTCAAAAATCAATATTAATTTTATTAGCATCATCGTCATCATCATCATCATCATTATTATTATTATCATCATCATCATTATTATTATCATCATCATCATCATCATCATTTTTATTATCATTATCATCATCATCAACATTATTATTATTATTATTGTTATCATTATTATCATCATCATCATCATCATTATTATTATTATTATCATCATCATCATTATTATCATCATTATTATTATTATCATCATTATTATCATCATCATCATCATTATTATTATTATTGTTATTATTATTATCATCATCATCATCATTATTATCATCATCATCATTATTATTTTTATTATTATTATTATTTAATTATTTTTTGTATTTTACCAATATGTTTTCATCGATAAATAAGTAATTTGTACATATATTTGTTATTTTATATTCATAATCTCTCTATTATAATAATTAATCTCTCTATTAATAATAATTAATTGAATTCTATTATTAAGTAAAAATATATATACTTTTTATTTTTATTTTTATTATTATTATCATTATTATTATTATTATTATTATCTTCTTTTATTGATTTTAATAGATACATTCATTTCGTCATTTAACGACTGCAACTTCCACTTAATAATGAATGGGAACAACTCTAAAAGTCTTTCATGCACTAAATCTGTGAGTTCATTAGCCGTGCCCTGACTTAATCAGTTTAGATCAGTGTTGTTTTAGGGTTTAATGGAATTTCAAATTTTGTCAATAGTCCCCTTCACAGTTCCCGGCGCCATCTTGAAAGGTAGCTGTGTCTTTGCATCAAAGCTAGACGAACGGCGAGCTTACAATAATAGAGACATGTAAATAATGTCCAAGGTGTTGAAAAAAGTCTCTATCATTGCAAGCTCCCAAATCGTCTCGTTTAGATGCAAAGGTACGGCTACCTTTCAAGATGGCACCGGGAACTGTGAAAGGCACTATATAAATTTGAAGTGAACAAGAAAAATAGCAAATTTGGAAAATTTGCACCATTTAGGCCTGAAAACTTTGGGGTGCGTATATAATAAGAAAAGATGAATTTATGATTCCTCTATTCAAATTTGAAAAAAAAAATTTCTCTATTCAAATTTGAAAATCTTCGAAGTACATTATAAAGGTGTTTTGAGTTGCATGCGCTCTTTATCATTATGTAAATACAGTTTTAAAAACAATTTTTCGATTCCGATTGATTTTTATCTGCCTATGAGATACTAAATCCATCACAGACAATCCACTGATCGATAAAACACGCAAGCTTCTGTAGTAGATACCTTTAAATAATCTGTTTTATGAGCTAATCTTGTTTGCTATCAACCATTTTGTTAGTTAGTTAGTTACGTTTGCTGTTAAACAGGCCGCCAGTACCGCCATTTTGTTTGCCATAATTTCGGCGTTTTTTTCCGTAACCGCGAAAAAAATTAGAAGACATTTCCAGTGCCCGTTGGCGCCGTCTCCAATGCTCTTCACTACCAGAATTTTTTTTTCCTTTTTTTGCACTAAAATTGATCAGGTGACTTACTTGTCGTAAGTAATTATTACATTTGTGCCAAGCGCTGATCAGTTCTGACTTTGTGATGGACGACCAAGCGGTTTGGTAAGTGGTTCTGATAGAAAATATTCCTTTCTTTAATATTTAATGAAATATCATTCTCTCTGTCGTTATCTTCAAATTCCTGATATATTTTTTCACAGATATAAAACTGTCATATTATATATAATGCATTTATAAAATAAATTAATGGATTTGTTTGTGTTAACCTCGAATCGTAAATTGAAAATACTTATCTGTATAAAGATTAGTGCTATAGGTAAATGAAAAAATAACTATATATTATACTTTAAAATTAATGAATTATATGAAAATATCAAGAAGATGGACAGCTTGAATTAAACTATTTGTGTTTCAGCAATTTTGGGTCGATTTTGTGCTTTGGATAAAATATATAATTGGTCGAGTTTGTTCAAATGACTCTGTGCTTTCGGCAAAATATAAATCTGAATCGATCGAGCATTCTTCACATATGGTAGATAATTTTTCGGCTTTATCAAATGTTTTATTTTACATGCTGTTTGTCTTTTTATATAGAGTTTGCTTCTTGTTTTGCTATTTCTCACTTCAGTTTAACGCGTTGTTTTTAAAAGCATGTTCTTTTTCATCCCCTCCGGCTTTACTTTACTTTGTTTTGCGCGATTTTTAATTCATACAAATTATCTTAAATTTTAGCGACAAAACATGAGAAGAAGTCACTTAATAAAAGCACTACTTTATGAAAGAAAATGCTGAACTGATGAAAAACAAGAAACAATGTCGCAACACGGTGATTAATTCTGCATTTGAAAAGATAATTAGCTTTTTCTCGAGTGAGAAGAAAGTACAAGCAATCTGAAAGGCAGACTTTGATTATTCACTTGCATACGCTTATACAATTGTACATATGTACATAAATATAAATATTTATTTTCTATTGTGTACTACACATTCATATATGTATACTGGTTTTCAATATGACCCACTGTCACTCACACACATTACCATTACATTCAATATTCTATACGTACAACTCGCAATTACTCACATGTTGATTTTTAGGGAGGGATGAAAACCAATGAACCCGGAAAAAAACCCGGATCATAAACTCATACGATAGAATAGAACTAAAAATAGAAAACAGAACTAATGACCAATATTATCTAGATTTTCAGTTTCGGGGTAGTTGATGAAGCTAAAAGGCTGTTTTCATCCAGTCTGTCGGTCTATTTTATACATTATTGGATAATGATAATGAATATTAATAATATCTTTATATCATCGATTAAGAACAAACCATTGTTACACATATAATAGAAATAAATAAATAAATATATAAATAAGTAATTATGGGAAAAGCAAAGTATTTTCAAACTAAGATGTATTTTTCATTTATCGACTCAACTCGACAAGCAATCAATATTTATAATCAATATTTTATTCAGTACTTATTAATATAACACAATATTTAAATATTTACATTTGTGAGAAATATGACATACATAAAAGTACAAGCTGCTTATGATAACTTAAAAGTTAGACTAGATAGGTAGCTACGTTTTACATAGATTTAAATGGTAAAAGCCATTAGGTAGATGATACATTTTTCTATTTACATGGTATGTGTGGATACAAAAAGGGTAATTCATTTATAAAAGCAACTATGTTCCATATATATTCGTAAGTCTAATAACGTAACTATTTTAATAGCGAACGGTAAACTAGTGTAAAACACAGCCAAAAACAATCAAAAAAATTCAAAATAAGGATATACTTATTAAACCTGTCTGGCTAATATCACGTTCGTGGGTTTTACAAATACATTATGAAATCTATTGACCTTGGACGAGCTCGCCTAGACACTGGCCACAAGTGGCTGGATCTGGATAATATTTAGGCCTTCGTTACCATGGTAACTAATTGATTGACGTGCACTACATAAAAAAGATTTTCATACTACAAAGAAATTAATCAGGAAGTTTTTTTCCATCATTATCTTTAATAAGTCGTTGTTTTTAAAGTTTCTTTATCAACTTCATTACAATTTATGAGAAGAACACCTTAGGAGGATATATAACTTTTAACTTAAAAAAAACCCTTTTATTAAATTAATTTGCAGAATGCTGAATTTTGATTATTTTATTTTTAAGACAATTGCCTGTTTGAACTATTTGCCGATATTAATGTTTTTATGTCATTCTGTTAAGTAGTGAAATAAAAGTTAAAGATGAGGACGATTTATTCGAAAAGCGCGGAAGTGTTTGATTTGTAACAAGCTCTATCGTATTATCGGTAGCTTTACTTAAAATGAAGGCGGTTTTTAATCGAGAAAGAAAAGCTCGGGAAAACGTCAGGCGTAACTATGGCATTGAAATATGACTTCCTTGATTTTGGTTGAACCAATAAAAAAAAAACAAAAATAACAGATACGCAGAAAAGAAATTTCTTCGTGACACCGTCTGGACCAATCAAAAATCTCAAAATTTACATCCATCATCCAATCATATTGTAGAATTCTTGTGAATGAAAAACGCACCGTGAAACTCGAATGGCTTCCTTCCTACACCGATCATAAAGCAAGAAAACTTGTTTCGTCCAATCATAATGCTTGAAGCACGAAGCGAAACGTTTTACTCAAATATAAGAAAACTGCTTGTTTATGAGCTGAAAATGATAGATGAATAGAAGGCTTAGTTGCAGTTTTGTTGAACAATTTGTTTTCTTTTCTGTAGAGATTCATGAAAACCTCTCAAGACTATTTTGAATGTTAACATAAAAATACAGAAGACATTACACTTTTTTCTCGAAGGAATTCATAGCACTTTTTTTATATTTTCCTCTTAGCACTGCTTCCAATATAATTTTGAAGTTAACGCTGGCTTAATCGAGGTAAAATCTTAGAAGATAATGATCGATTGATCGCAAATTAAAGTGGTTCTACAGATAAAGAACTGGCAGCAGTTTATGTCATATTCAATAATCTAGCCTTCTGGTCAGGAAAGACAACGCTATTAATAGGTAACTTTATAATGAATACAAATTACTTTACCACTGCTGGGTTATGGTCTGCGAGGTGTAAACATGGCATGTGTGGGCTGATGACTTTTATCCCACGCAATTGGCCGTTTGCATGATGACATTATTTTACTTCCGCTTCCAAAATGCTTCGCGAATTTTCTTTCTTACTCAAATCCATACTTCCTCATAAGAAAAATAAGACGACTGAACAAAAGAAAGTGTTCAAGGGAGTAATGCACCTATTGTTGGATAGAATTAAAGGACCTGTTTTCTCGTTTTAGACCATTTGTTGTTCTTTTGAGAATAATATTTCTTGTTTTAGTTGTATCCATATTCATGTGTCTTATCGGGTGCAACCGTTAAACAAAGAAATGTTACTCTAGGGAATAAAACGTGGTCTGAAATGGTAATACAGATTACTAGAAGCAAACTGAATAAATAATTAGACTAAACCAAAAACTGTATTCAAGTAAAATCCTCAATAATTTGATTCATCACGTGATAAGACACGTGACACAATAAAAACAGTGGTGTTATACTACTCTATGTTTTGTACAATTATACTGCCATTATACAATTATATTAAATAAATAGCTATAATCATCATAGCCTAGGATGATAATTAATGATGATGATAATGGTAATATAAAATCGAAACAAAGAAAAAATCATTTGTATTTAGCTCACTGTCATGACATGTTGTAGCATATCGTGACAGCGTGACAGATGCTGAATCACTCTGGTTGCCTTCCTGGTTTTCATCCCAAACTTCCAAAACAACAATAATAAAAACCCGTCACAAGGTTGGCATTAAAATATTATGAAAATAATTTTTTTAAGCTTCCTATTTGAGTTGTAAAACAATATGGCCACTTCAGTCACTATTTATCCTAAATTAAAAGCGTTATTCATGAATGCCTTTTCGGCGCTGGCTTGGATTGTGTTACGGTCACCAAAAAGTTCGGACATTGTTCTCGGAGTCCCATACAAATATCACTGACTTTAAAGAGAAAATATAGGTAGATTTCTTTAGTTAGCTATCTTAACAGCAGTAAGAAAAGATTCAATCAAGCTAGAAAAATGATCATTTACTTGTGTTTAGAGAACTAACTAAACATTAACCAAGTAAATAGTTCATTTAGAGTCAGTGCATTTGTACGGAAATTCGAGAACAATGTCTGAACTTTTTGGTGACCGTAACACAATCTAAAACAATTTATACCCCGTGACGGCTAGCGCCGAAAACTGTGAATTACTTTATTGTGATAGGAAACATGAGTCAACAATGTCCCAATCAAAATGACTCGTGCGCGTTGTCTTTTGATTCGAATCCGCGAAAATATGGAACACAAAACATACATATATTTGTCGCGTATTCGGATCCAATTCGATTATAAAAGAAACGACTAAAAAAAAACATTAAAATCATCTTAATATTGGTTCGTAGACAACGGAAGTTAACCTTCCGGGCTTCACGAATTTTTTTTATTGTTTATGTCATGTGAAAGAGTCACGTGACTGGATTTTATTATTGCCCTTATATTACTTATATTACTGGTACGAATTAAAAGCAATTCAGCGCACCAGATAAGCTATCTTCTTTTTACTTTGCACAGCTCTCAATCCTTCACTTCCACATAAAATATCATGATTTTGGGTATATTTTTTGAGGCAAATTTAATTGGAATTCAAATATATCGCAAGCCAAGGCAAGAATATCGTCTTATTCACAAGGAATTGTCAAAATCCCATACGAAGCTGATTATCGTCTTCTTATGATTATCTTTCACGTCATTTTCAAAAGAGCAAACGAGTGTAGAATAATCAAGCAGTTTGTTCTTCAGTCTCTCGGTTCTTCCTTGATTACTTTCACTTACTAGAAGTCGGGAATATTTGCATGAAACACTACACTGTACGTGTTGTTTTGCGTGATTTGAGCGTTCTAATTTTTACATATTGCTTGGTAATGCGATTTTCTGAAAATATTACCCCACAGTTTTGGGTCATTCATCACTCTAGCTCCGAAATTAATTGTATTCCAAACATCTGCTTGTACGTATTTCATAACCGTGGGGGAAAAAGGATGGGAGCCCTTTGAATCCCTAGTCGAAAAAAAACACGGTAAATCAGAATTCTTTAAAATTAACAAATTAAGCTGATTTAACTATTAATTCCTAACACAATTTTGGTTAACTTGATTTTTTTATTATTTAGTTTGTTTTTAGATTTAACACTGACGATTCAATAAGTACTTTGATAGTCTGCAAGGACATTGTGCCGCTTTGGAGGTAAGGAGATGTAGAGCTGTTAAATTACTTAGCCAAAAATATGGCCAAATTTTCCATGAGTCATCAAAAGTCATATTTATAAAAATTACTACACACTCTTTTGGACATTAAAGCCTGGTTTGAACGTTCGTGCCCATGTAGCATTAGCATTTCTGGGATAGCTATTGATGTAGATCTGCCACTTATGTGAAGGTTTTCGAGTGTATGCGATTGGCAATCGTCAAAATATAAAATCCGCCGGTTTTTTTACTCTAAAGGGAGAATTCTAGATGTTAGATTCTCGTATTATACAATTTAAGAACTTAAAATCCACATTTATTGAGTTAAGCTTAACCATAGCTTAAGGCTTTGAGGTAATCAATACAACTTTTTCTCTTGATATAGTCTACAAGCCAGTCTATTTGGCGTTTGTCTTCATATCAGTCGAACGTCAACTAGAGATATGTCGAAGATAATATATCGAAACATGCACGATAGCTAGATTAATAAAATTTTGACTTCCTACATTTCTGATGCTCTATCTATAAGTTTTAAAATCGAATAAGTTGGGGCTATCTTGTCCGGCTATATGCAACACACGGCATTAGAAAATTTTGTCTCGTATTTTGGGAACAGCTGAAAAATCGACGGGGAAGGCTGCTTCGCTACTGAGAAAAATTGGGATGCCGTATTTGTAAAAATAGTCTGCTTGACAGGGTAATTTATAAGGATGGTACATTAGTAATTTGAATATAGAGAGACTAAATTCAGTAACACATGATTTATGACCGAAAGCTAGAAAGACAAGTAGTGAAAGTAAATTTACTTTTCGATCAAATACTATAGAAATAGATTGTTGCGCTTTTCTTGACAATGTTCCGATGAATTTCAAGAAATAACAGTAGTAGCAACACAATTATAACAACCACCCACTCGCATTACTCATACTAGTTCATTTTAGCAATAAAAAGGTTTCTGTTATAATATCAACTAAGTCTTCCCTCCTATTCCTTTTTCCTCCATTTTTTTTCTCCCTCTGTCCCCAAATCAGAAGAACAAACTATCTATTTCTCCAGTTTCGAGTTCTCTGTTGCTCAGTGCGAGCCTCTATTTTAGTAGAATATTTATGTGTTCCAGTTCTTCCGGTGAAGATCCGTGGAATTTTAAAGTGGTTTTGTATTTTTAAAGTTGTGCATTATTTATTTTACTACCATTAATATAATATGAGAATATTTTAACACTGACTTGAGGTTATTAACAATAAGTTAACGAGTCTAAACAAAAAACACAGCGATATATTATACGTATCCAAATGAATGGTCGATTCTTTTTCTAAGACTTTCTGTCTTGGGCCCCGTCCACACTATGCCGGATAAATTTGAATCCGAATTTTTATTTATTCGGTTTCATTTCGAAAATTCGTTTTCGGTGAAGAGTTGTTCCGGATTCGCCCGGACTAGTGTGGACGGTAGGCCTAACCGATAAAAATTCGGATCCAAATTTATCCGGCATAGTGTGGACGGGGCCTTGGTATCAAAGCCGCAAATCTTTCTTACAATCCACAAATTAACCGTTTCTTCAGCAAATGGAATGCAAGTTCTAACCAGTAACATACAATATGAGGCACTGATTATTGACACCTTATTTAAAGCTATGATTTAAAACTAGGTGATTATAAGGAGGGAAGTAAGGTTGGTTTTAAAGTCATTAGTTCTTAGAACATTTTAAGTCAGATCTTAATGACTTGTCTTGGTATGGTTTATAACTTGACGAGTTGATGAGAGAATAAATTGTTAAATGGATGGGTAGGACTAGAAGAGATGGATGGGATAAATAAACGGACGGATAGATGAAATGGATGAACAGAATAAGATGGATTGAAGGGATGAATGGATAGATGGAATTCATTGGTCGATAGGATGGGATGGGAAGAAATGCATTGAATGGTATGAATTGAAGGGATGGATGGATGGAATTGATGGATGGATAGAATGGGATGGATCGAAGGGATATGATGGACGGATGGATAGAATGGGATGGATNGGATGGATAGAATGGGATGGATCGAAGGGATATGATGGACGGATGGATAGAATGGGATGGATTGAAGGGATAGATGGATGGATGGATGGAATGGGATGGATTGAAGGGATGGATAGGTAGAATTGATTGGTCGATAGGATGGGATGGGATGGATGCAAATGGATAGATGGAATCGATGGGTGGATAGGATGGGATGGGATGTATCGGATTGGATGAATGAATGAATGGATAGATAGATAGAATGAGATGGTATAAGTGCATATGGGGGGATTGTATAAATGAATGAAAGGAAGGAATGGATGGATGAGTGAGTTAATTCATTAATTGACGGGTAATTGCGTGATATTTTTGAATCGTTATATCATCACGCCCAATAGCGCAACGCAACCGTGACGTCATAAAAACGAAGACAAAGGCGAAATTCAGACAAACAAACTTACAAGTTTACTTTCAGCAGATAATTTTAACAGCCGATCACAGTTGATCTTAGTTTACATGGGTTATTATTGTAACTTTAAGTAAAAATAATAAAATCGGTTCGTATAATCCTCGTAGCGGTTAAACAGAATGCAATGTTTGTCCGAATCTTTAAGCTATATTGCCCCGAATATCTCGACCTGGGGTGGTTGCTTGGGGGCGGTGGGCGTAGCCCCA